AAATTGGTCATGAGATGATGATTGTTTTAGGTGCATGGTGGGTACACAAGGGGTTCATTGTTGTATGTTTAAAATATTTTATAATAAAAAACTTTAAAAATAAAGAAAAACCATGATGCTGGGTTATTAAAATTCAGACATCTTCCCTGTAGATTGCTGATGGGAGCATATATTGGTATAACTTTTATGGAAGATAATATCTATTTAAATAAAAATGTGCATATACTTTAAGTCAGAAAATCGCTTCTAGAAATGCAATCTGTCTACTCACCATGTGTTATATATACATACACACATATCTATATATGGATTCTCATTGCTGCCTTGTTTTTCAAAGGAAATGATTAGTAATAATCTATATGTCCTCAGTAGGGTACTCGTTATATAAGGCAGGATAAATCCATTGAATGGAACACTCCATAGTCATTTTTTAAAATGAATATGCTTTTTATGTACTGATCTGAAACCATCTACAAAGTGCAGTGCTGGGTGTATAGTATGCTAACTATACATACTATAGTATATAAAAAGGATATATATAATCATGTATGCTTATGTATCTCTAAAGTATATTAAAAAGACAGCTATCATCCTTTAGGCCTCCAAGAAAGGAAACTGGGTTTACAGGGGAAAGGGACAGGAGCAAGGCTTTTTATGTTTCAGTGCTACCATTTTGTACCTTTCTTAATTTTATTCCATGTACATGCATTACCTATATTTTTTTAAATATAAGTTTTAAAAGAAATAAAAACAAAATGAAGATATTAAAAAATATAAGGACTATGCAGCAAGGTGGGAAAATATTTGTAATACTATGTTTGGCTTCAAGAGCATACAAAATTTTATCTACATAATAATTAGAAGTACATAAAAGATGTCTATTCATGGTCAACTACTAGAGGCACACACAAATGAAAGGAATGTGTTGTTAGGTGGCAGTGCAAGGGCTGGTATTGTTTTTTAACTCTATAGGTATTATAATATGGTATGATAACACGTAAGGTAAATTATAATTTGGTAAAAAGAAAAATCAGATTTAGATCACAAAAATCTAATTTCCTTAGGATTTTCAGAGGGAGATTTTTTCCACAAAGCAAGATGCACCTAGTCACGTGGCCAGAGCTTGTTCTGTTTGGTTTCCTGCTGGCCTCGCCGGAGGAACTAGATGCTGGACCAGTCACTGCAGATGGTCACGTCCTCATGCTCAGCACTCATTCACCGGGCCCTAGACAATCTGTTTATTTATGGAGAAAAGACCCTGCACAAACAAGAAGAGGTTTTCTGGAGGCGGGAAAGCCAGGGTGTTAAATATCCTCTTTCATATGCTGTGCTTCCTTCCTTGAGAAAGGGCCCCCGTAGGAAACCGGAGGTGGGCTCTGTCCAGGCAGGAAGGAGAGTCAGCCAGCCTCTTGCCTTCAGCTCTGCATCCTCCCCAGCTCTGCCAGCCCATGGTCCATCTGTTCTTGGAGGCATGCCTCTTTCAGGATGCCTGTGCCATTCGCCCTTCAGAGGCAGCTGTGGAAGAGTGGAGAGACCCAGACTGGGCATCAGAGACTGACTCTGTCCCTAAGTGCATGACCTCATACAAGTCACTTACCCTCCCTGAGCCTCACTTTTCTCATCCATAACATAATCCTACCTAACTTTTCATGCTGCCAGAGGAGCGGATGAGATCGCCATGACTCATTCTAGGCCCCACACTATTTTCCTACCTACAGCTTCTCAGTCTCCTTCGCTTGCTCCTCCTCAGTCTGTGCCTCACAGTTATCAGTCCTCTGCCCTCTTCTTCTCCCTCCTTGGGCTCCCAGACCTAACCCATCACTCATGACACCCATGCTCCGGATCCACACACCCAACTGGCCCTCTCCACGTGCACTTCCCACGAGTCTTGCAAACTTAACTAAAATTGAACTTGTCTTCCTCTCCAAACTTGGTCCTCACCCATTGTTCTCCATCCCAGCAGTACTTCCTAGCATCCACACAATTGCTCAAGCCAGAAACCTGAGGATAGTCTTTGTCTCTACGCCAACATTTATGGTTGCAGCAGCAGCCATCTTCCACCACGTAGCCTAGGAAACAGAAAAAGCTGATGGGACCCAGAAAAAATGAAGTGAACACATTAAGAAGCCTGGCAGAGAACAGGAGAGAAAAGACTATCGGGGTTCACATGCTCTGATTCTGTTCTTGATCCTTTGTTTATGTTAGTTTGAGTTGGGTTTCTACATTTGCAAATACAAGAATCCTAACTAATATAAACGTGGTCAGTCAGAATAGGCTAGGTAATGCTAGGGTAATGAACAACTCCCACATTTTGGTGGCTTAATTCCATCACATGTCTGTCAGCAGCAGGGGGCTCAGCTCCCTGCAGTCCCTCAGAATGTAGCCAGCATCTTGACTGTTGTTGGTCACTTTCACAGGGAAGGAGAAACCTAAAGGGATCTTATACTGGCAATTCACTGTTCCAGCTTAGAGGTCACATGTCACCTCCATTCATAACTCATTGACTAGAACAAGTTACCTGGCCCCACCCAACCAACAGGGGGCCACAAAGTGCAGTCCTGCTATGCGCCTGAAATATTTGGTGAATTAACCTTAGTAACTACCATACATTTCTTGCTGCCTATTCTGTGCCAAGCTCTGAGCCTAATGAAACTGAGGCTCAGGAAGGTCAGGTAACTCAGTCACTATACCATGCAGAATGATTCTCAGTGGTCCAGAAGGATAGGGCAGACTGGTGAATGAGAGAATTATTTAAGAGGGGTAATACATTACCTGGTACTAAGAATGAATGCTAAGTAAATTCGCCCACCCCCGGTCCCAGAGGTGCTCAAGAACAGTCTGTGTGGTCACTTATTAGGGTTGCCGAACAGGGTAGTCAAGTACCAGATGGGTAGCAGCACTGTGCAAAGCCTTCCAACCATGAAACTCTAACTCCACTTTTCCTAGAATAATTATTTCTCTTCTTGGCAGTAATGCTGCAACATAATTGACTACTCCCGACCCCCTCACTCCTACAATAGCACTGTTGGCTCCATGGGTGGGAAACTAAGGCCTAGAAAGGATATGGAGAGATTTTGGGTAGACAAAACACCAATCAGCTACTACTGAGTGTCCATGACATGCGAAGTGCATTGTTCTGAGTCATTAAGACAGTGTTTATAGCAGGAAAGGAGCACGATAAAGAGACTTATGAGGTCTGTCCAGAGAAAGTCCAGCCATTGTTAATATAACGGAAATGGTTTGTGCGACATTGATGTAACCTGGCAGCCAAGGAGAGGGGACTGGAATGTGCATGTGTCAACAATGACAACTTCACTGTACTAGTCGTGGGGCAGTAGATGCCATTGAGGGAGCACGTGTACTGTGTGGCCATCTCATTCAAAATGACTGAGTGAGTAGAGCAACGAATCTACATCAAATTTTGCGTTAAGCTTGGACATTCCTCTGAGAAAACTATTCCAATGATTCAGACAGCTGCAGCTATAGGCAACTGGTGATTGACAGCTTCATAACAACAATGTGCTTGCTCACGCATCACATCTAGTGCAGAGATTTTGGTAAAACATCAAATGACCCAGGTGACTCGGCTCTGCTACAGCCCGGATTTGGTGTCCTGAGACTTCTGTCTTTTCTCAAAATTAAAATCACCTTTGAAAGGGAAGAGATTTCAGAGTGTCCATGAGAGTCAGGAAAATATGATGGGGCAGCTGATGGCAATTGAGATAACTGTGTGAGGTCACAAAGTGCCTACTTTGAAGGGGACTGAGGAATCATTGTACTATGTAAAGTGTTTCTTGTTATCTTGTATCTTCTTCAATAAATGTCTTTAATTTTCATAGTGTGTGGCTGGATACCTTCTGAACAGACCTCATAAACGTGGGACCTAGTCCTGGCTTTGTCATTAATTTACTGTGCAACTTTCTTCCAAAGCCTTAGTTTCATCTTTATACAATGAGGAGACAAGAATATACCTCTAGAGTCCATTTTGTCTTGAATAACTGATATAAATTATGTGCAGAGTCAAAAATCAACCCTCACACTCACTTCTTAGAAGATAGTGAGGCTATAGAACCCTGGGATATCAAAAAGACTTTAGGCATATTGTCTAAAGTTGCATTTTTCAATATGGTAGCCACTAGCCACATGGAGCTACTGAACATTTGAAGTGTAGTACATACTGAGGTGTGCTATAAGTGTAAAATACACACTGAATATCTGGATTTAGTATACTTTTTGTAAAATATTTTTATATTGACAATATTTTGGGTCCACTGGGTTAAAATGTTATTAAAATTAATGTCAACTGTTTTTTACTTTTTAAATTTTAATGTTTTTTACTTTTTTAATGCAGACACTAGAAAATGTAAAATTATAATGAGGCTCACATTATACTTCCATTGGACAGTGCTGTGTAAGAGAAAACTGAAGCCCAGAGCAGGCAAATGGCTTGCCCGCAGAACAGGGTGTGGAACTAGGATTATCTAGCTTTTCATTCAAGACTCTTTCTACCCTAACTGCCTGTGGTAGCCAGTCTCCAAGATGGTCCCTAATAATCCTCATATCCCATCATTCTTATGTAGTCCTTTCCACACTGAGTAGGGGTAGGAGACTACAGAAATGACTGAGTGATTTCCAATGCTGGGTCATAAAAGATATTGTGGCTTCTACCCTGTCTCTCTGGCATTACTTGCTCTGGAGGAAGCCAGCTGTTGGGTTATGAAAATATTGAAGTGGCCCTTATGGAGTGGGCCACAGAGTGAATAACTGAAGTTTCCTATCAACAACCAGCACCAAACAAGCATGGAAGTGAACCATCTTGGAAGCTGATCCTTCAGCTCCAGTCAGGCCCTCAGATGACAGCTGCCCTAGCTGACATCTTGACTACAACTCATGAGAGGTCTTGACCCAGAATCACCCAGCCAAGTTCTCCCAAATTCCTGACCCACACACTATTATATCATATAATAAAGGTTTATTGTTTTAAGTTTATGTTTTGGGGTAATTTGTTATGCAGCAATAGATAACTAATACAAAGCCCTGTATACTTAGAGATCTCATATAAGAAAAACTTCCTTGCATCTTTGGGAAATTTTTTTATCTTCCCCCAGTCTCTGGCCTGGTTTAAGTTACCTAATTAAAGATAGCTATCAGACTTGGGGAATTCATCACAAGAAGACAGGATCCCATTCTGTTCTTTAATATAAAGTTTTCCCTTTATTACAGAATGCAATCAATCACCTTCACCTGGGCCACCCAGAGACACGATTCCTACAATATCAAAGGAACTGGAACCCCAGAATTGCCCAAATAAATAGAGCATTGAGGAAACAATAATCAAGAAATGATACTCTAAGCTTAGAAAATGATATCAATAGTAGTGCTAATACATTATATTTAAGTAGCATGTGTTACTTTTCACGTTATCACTTCTGTATGAGGTAGGTGGGGAAGGCATAAATAACCCAGGTTACATGGGAAAACAGTAGCTAAGAGCTCGTGATTTGCTCATAGTCTCATGGTGAGTGAATGACAGGGCCAAATCTAGAATCTGGGTTTCAGTGACTCCAAGTCAGGCTTGGTGCTTTCCAATGCAGTCATTTCCAAGGCAGCACCAACTATGATAATCAGAACACCCTTTAGCTGGAACTATCCTCTGAGATCAAGGTGCACTTGTAGGTCTCCTTAAAGGCCTGAAGGAAATGTGGTAAAACTTCATCCACCGTGACGTGCCTCTGGAGCTCCTTACTCAAGGAGGTGACACCTGTCCCAACCAGCCCGCAGGGCACAATGTGCTCAAACCACGTGAGGTCGGTAGAACAGTTCAGAGCTTGGCCGTGGGACGTGATGTGCCTTCCACAGCGGACTCCTGCAAAACAAGCCAGTGTTGAATCAATACCTCCCTCCCCAGGTTTCAGGATCCCCCTGTGTGTTGAGGAAACTGGACTAGGTCACTGATTTTCCAACTTTGTTTCTGGAGTACCCAAGGGGTTGTGTGCACAGATCAGAGAGGGGGACAAAGTGAGGGGAGTGGTGTGTGGCTCCACAATAACTGCACTTATCACGGGGATTACAGAAAATGATTTCAACAGAGATTTTATTGCTTAAAAAAAAGTGTGAAAACTAAGTGCCTTTATTGTCCCAGCACTGTGAAGTAACCTGGCAATTCACTTTTCGTGTCTCGCCATTTAGAAAGTTGTACCAGACGACTTCTGAGGGCACTTCTGGCTCTGAATGTAATACATTAGTGAAGACGCTAAAAAAACTCTTAAACGCAGCGGGTAGTTATTATTCAAAGCCCGCGCTGGATTCACCTCGATTGGCCCAGGCCCGCCAGGACATGCCCCCGCGACGCTCACCGATAGCGCAGATCTTTTGCTCGCCCAGCCAGACGCCGGTGTAGGGCGGTGGCCGTGCGCGGGCGCCCTGCAAGCCCTGCAGCTCGCACAGACGCACGGCGCATGCCTCCAGCGCCGCCACGTGGGTACGCAGACGCAGGCCCAGGCGCCGCAAGTCGAGTACTGGATGGCAAAGGAGCTGGCCGGGACCATGGAAGGTGGCCAGACCGCCGCGGCCTGTGACGTGCACCTCGGCTCCCAAGGCCCGCAGCCGCGTCACCTCCTCGGATGTCAGGCCGCCGCGCAGCCCGGTTGTGTACACGGGCCCCGCAGGTTCGCAGAGCAGGAGCGCGCCTGCCTCAGTTCTCAGCGGAGCCTCGGTGCCTGGCTCCGCCTGCAGCAACCGCAGCCAGCTTCCCTGCAGTGCCAGTAGCTCGGCGTACGGCACCCGACCCAGCCGCACGAGCCGTACCACGGGTTGTTTCATCGTGTCCGCCTAGGTTCCCCCTAGACCCCGCCCCTGGCCTGGCCCCGGGGGCGTGCCGGGAGGGGCGGGGCTTAAGGGGCCAGTACCGAGCCGCTGCTCCGAATTGCCCTTTACGGGCTCTTGAGAGACTGTGATCCCATCGTCCGGTAGTACCAGGTGCGTCTCTTCTTCTGTCAGAAACCGGTACTTAGGGCCTGCGTGTGCCTTAGGCGCATGATACAGTTGTCCATATGTACGTGAGCAAAAATGATCTGTCCTGGGAATCTTACGTTCTTAGAGCAGACAGTAAGCAAGCATTAAAACATGAAATAAATAAGATTCTTTCACATACTGATAACTTCTATGAAACGAAAAATAAAATAGGGTAACGTGACATTCTCTAGGAAGAGTCTCAAAAGGACGTTAACATGTAGGAGGTTTACGGGGGTAGGGGTGAGGGTGGAGAGTGGGAGATACTTTCAAGACCGCGCCCGTTAAGAGGGATAGAAGGATTAGGCAGATGGAGAAATTAATCTCAGAAGAGACTTTAGCCAATCCCAAAGAATGCTCTGAGCCTGGGAATACCTTTTATAGTTGTTCGAAATTAAAGAAGGGGGCAAAAATGTATATTGTTGCATTGACCAGTGATAGAGACTGTTATCTGGAGAGGTGCTGGAACCAGGAAAGGCTGCTTCCTTCAGTGGAGGACAATTCCTAGAGAGGAATTATGAGCCATGAGCAACCAACTCCCAGAAATTGGGGCAATGACTGGCTAGGTCCTGTGGGTGGATCTGGATAACAATATTCATTATGTTATATTGGAATGTCATTAAGTTTATTGCCTCAGATCAGGGTCTGGTAGACAGGGTGAATTCATTCAGTAAACTTACTGAGGACTAATAATGTGTTAGGCCCATTGTTGGGTGAAGAGGATACACAAGGCCATGCCACTCCTGTAATCCCAATAGCATACAGAATCCAGTTCTTATGTTCTCAGTGTACCTTCTGCATCTGTCTCCAAGATGCAACCAAGGATCATTCAATTGAAAAGAAGAATGAAAAGAGAAAAGCAGAAAAGTAGAAAGAATAATGCAACAAATTACTGTTTACCTACCATCTGGACTTGTCAAATTTTAATACCTTAAAAATGTTTGCTCATGTCTTTAAATTTAAAAACTAACATTGATCACTCCTGTAGGTATCTAAAAGACATTTCATTAATATATACATAAAAATCCTCAGCAAACATTAGCAAATTGAATCCAGCAATGTGTAAAAGGATTAATACATCATGATGAAGTGGTGTTTATCCCAGAAATACATTCTAAAACAATATAATTCATCATAAAGGAGAAAAACTATGATTATTTTCCATAGATGCAGAAAAAGCAGTTGCCAAAAATCAACATCTACTCTGACTGAAACTCTCAGCAAACTAGGAAGAGAAATTCCCCAATCTGATGAAGGGTATTGAATCAAATCAAGGTTCAGTTGAGAGAGAAACTACACAGATAATATTTTATTTTATTAAAATTTTGTTACTGATTTCAGAGAGAGGAGGGGGAGAAAGAGAGAAACATTGATTTGTTGTTCCACTCATTTATGCACCTATTCAATGGGGGTACTGCATCCCATGCAGAGTCCTCCCAGGTCGCTGTGGAGGGAGGAAAATAAAATAAGTTGTTCCAGACACTCTTGGTCTACCAGGAAAAGGGGATAGTGATTCCCTCTAGTGGAGAATGCCCCGAACCCTTCTCTTGAAGTGGCTTTTATTGAGAATGATATGTGCTGGGGTATACAGCATGCATGCAAAGCTCATCAATCAATGTCAAAAGACTATGTTTGAAGGAACACAGAGATTTGCCTCAGGTCAGGGTCTGGTAGACAGGGTGGTGCCCATTTGGCCCTGAAACATGGGAAACCGATCACATTCTATGCTCAGACCCCAAACATCAGTAGTCATTAACTCAAGGGCATTCTTAGCAAGGTAAGTTTCATAGGGTTTAATGCATTCCTTTTCCAGGCCTAATTGTCCCTGAAACTGCCTGATCCAGTTTAGAGCTGTATCTGCCTTAGTATTGTTTCACTGACCCAGTTAGGCAGTGGGCAGAACAGTCAAGAGACAGAGACAAGGAGCCTTCTTTCAGACAGAATGGGGACTCCGGCCGTGACAAAGCTGAGGCGTGAGGGTCTTTTGCCCCTTCTCTGTGTCCCCCATGTCCTTCCAGTGATGGCCCCATGTCACTGTGCCTCTCTTAGGTTGCCCCTGCCATGGAGGGGTCTTACCCATCTTTGACTAACCGGCCATCCTCCAGGGCCAAGCAAGGTGAGGTGAGGGAGGCAGGGTCTACACCCCTGACAAGGGAACAACTTTTGTCTCCTCAGCGGCCTATTTTCCCAAGGCCTCCTTGCTCAGCTCCAGCCTTGGGGCCCTTTCACCTGTCGGTGAGACTACAGTCCTTGAAACCAGGCGGGATGGTTCCCAGCACCTATTGGTTCATTCTTGTATGTGCCCTGACTGAGGACTGAACCCAGAACCTTGGCATATTGGGATGAAGTTCCAACCAACTGAGCTACTCAGCCAGGGCACCCACAATAATATTTTAATGAAATTTTTTATTTTGAGACAATTGTAGACTTACATTGCAACTGTAAGGAATAATCGAGAGATACTGTGTACCCTTTATCCAGGTTCCCCCAAAGGTAATGTCTTGCTAATGCCAAAATTAGATCTTAATGTTGGTACAGTAAAGATACAGAACATTTACACCACCACAAGCATCCCTCATGTTGCCCTTTATATCTACACTACTTAATTCCGGGCAAACACTAATCTGTTATGTAAATGGAATGATACAGGATGTATACTTTTGGAATTGAAATTTTTTTTACTTAGTATAGTTTTCTGGAGACTCATCCAGGTTGTTGTATGAATCAGTAGTTAATTTCCTTTAGGTGAGTAGTGTTCTATGGTATAAATGTACCACAATTTGTTTAAACACTCACCCATTAAAGAATAGTAAAGTTGTTTCCAGTTTTCAAATATTCTGAATAAAGCTGCTACAAACATTTATGGACAGGTATTTTGTGTGAATATACATTTCATTTTTCTGGAATAAGGCCCAAGAGTGCAACTGCATGTTTAGTTTTTCAAGAAAATGCCAAACTGCTCGTCATTATAGCTGCACCATTTTACATGCCCACCAACAATATACATACATACATGTATATGTGTGTAAATATGATCCAGTTTCTCTGCATTTCTCGCCAGCATTTGGCATTGTCATTATTTTTTATTTTAAACATTCTGATAGTGGTATTTCACTGTGATTTTACTTTGTATTTCCCTAATGGCTAATGATGATGAATACCTTTTCATGTGCTTATTTTCCACCCATATATACTCTTCAGTGAAATGTCTGTCTGTGTCTTTTGCCTATTTTCTAATTGATGGTGGTTTTTTACTATTGAGTTTTGAGAGTTGTTTTCTAAATCCTAGTCCTTTGTCAGATGTGTGGATTGTAAATAGTTTCTCCCACTTTATGGCTTGTATCTTTATCCTCTTAACTCAGTCTTTTGCAGAGCAAAAGTTTGTAATTTTGATCAAGTCCAATTATATTTTTATAGGCATCGTTGTCCTGTGTACAATGTTTCTTGCATCTTGTATCTTTTTCAATGAATTTCTCTTTTTCATATTACATGGCTGGGTACCTTCTGGACATACCTCATATATATGAGAATTTTTCTCTCTTTTGGTGATTCTAAATGGTATTTTTAATTTCGGTGTCCATATGTTCATTGCAAATATATAAAAATACAACTGATATTTGTATGTTCATCTTATATCCTGCAATGTTCCTTGCTTAACTCACTTATCAGTTCTAGGAGATTTTTTGTAGATGCTTTAGAATTTTCTACACAGGCAACCTTGTTTGCAAATAGAAACAGTTCTCTTTTCTTTCTTTCCAGTGGGTATGCATTTATTTAATTCCCTTGTTCTGCCTTATTGCACTGAATAGAACTTCCAGTACTGTGTCGAATAAGTGTATTAAGAGCAGGCATTTTTGCCTTTTTCCAGTCTTAGGAAGAAAGTATTCAGTCTTTCCCTGTTAAATGTATTGTTAGTTGTAGGTTTTTTGTAGATTATCTATCAAGTTGAGGAAGTTTCCCTCTATTCCTGTTTTCCTGAGGGTTTTTATCCTGAAGGGTATTGAATCTTGTCAAAAGTGTTTTTTTTTTTTTTTGCAATGATTGATATTATCATGTGATTTTTCTTCTTTAGCCTGTTATGTGGTAGATTACACTGACTGAATTTTGAATGTTGACTAAATTGAAGTATTTGGAATGAATCCCACTTGTTTGTGGTGTATAATTGTTTTTATACATTGTTGTATTTGGTTTGCCAATGCTTTGTTGAGGATTTTGCACCTAAATTTAAGAGAGATATTGGTCTGTAGTTTTCTTTTTCTACTTTTTTAGTTTTGGTATATGGTAATACTGGCTTTGTAAAATGAATTGGGAAGTGTCTGTCCTCTTCCATTTTCTGGAAGAGATTGTGTAGATTGTCTTCACTCTTTTTTAAACATGTGGTAGGATTCTCCATGAAACCATCTGGGTCTGGAGGTTTCCTTCTTGGGAGTTCTAAAATTACAGATTTTCTTAACAGTTATAGGGCTATTGAAATTATTTCATAATGAATGAGTTGTAGTAGTTTGTGTTTTTCAAGGAATTATGTCTAAGTTGTCAAGTGTATGAGAATAGAATTATTTGTAGTATTCACTTATCCTTTTGATGTTTACATGGTCTGTAATGATGTTCTTTTTGTCATTCCTGATTTTGGTAATTTTTGTGTGTGTGTCTCTATCAGTCTTGACAGAAGTTTGCCAATTTTATTAATTTTCTTCAAAGAATCATTGTTCTTGTTTTTATGTTTTCAGTTTTCATTAATTTCTGTTCTTTATTTTTCCTTCCTTCTGCTTGCTTTGAACTTATTTTGGGGTTTTTTTCCCCCCTCATGTTTT